CATCGTTAATGATCGTTGAATGGATGACGCCTTGGTTATTCCTTGCAACAATCAGGGTTACCATGCGAACTCTGACTGTGGGTAACACGACGTTCGCGCGCGTCCCTCCTCTTGAGCGAGCCTGAGTTCGCTTCAGATGAAGGTTGAAACCACTCACATCTATGAAGATATATTTCTCCTTGTTAGAAGGTGCACGTGCCGAGAACTCGAGAGCGTACGCCTGTCGGCTATCGATTGTCGTGGCACTGTTGACTCGATCGAGCTCGTAATGACACTTTTTGAGAGTTATCTTTAGTCTTCTGAGGGCGTTGAAGACAGAGGATACCGATAGGTTTATCCCATTCTCTCTCAGGCGCATCTGCAGCTGCCCCAACGTGTCTTCAGAGTGCCGTTCAACCGCTTCTTCGACCCGCTGCAATACATTGGGAGTCAGCTTCTCCCTATTGCTTCCACTACAGGTGCGCTCTGTATTTGAGCCTTCTGGCTTGTAGGCATTCATGATGTTCCTTGCCGCATTTGCGTTAACACTGGCGACTTCAGCGGCTTCCCGAGTAGTTTTGTCGTCGACCAGCACAAGTTTTGTGAGAATTTCTCTTTGCGCAAATGATGTCCGCCTGCAGTGCCGTCGCGTCGGACACCAGCTCTCCTGTTGTTCGTCTCTCATTTTGGTCGTTTCGTGCGGCACGGAGCTAATAAAGCTAAGTTGTGTTGAGTGGAACCATTATCGTATGCTCCGCTCCAATAGTGGTGCCGCTGCATAGGTCGGTCCACACACCCAGACAAAACACACGAATTCCTATGGGGGGGGGGGTGTAGGGGAAAATAGGTCACCGATTTTGACCGAGGCGAACGGCACTCATGTCAAGAGAAGGGCTTACACAATCACCCGCTACGTATGCAGTTCGGTTACATTATCGTGAGCACAATGTGGCCTGAACATCGTGTAATCGGCTCACTCCCCAGTAATTGATATGATGCAACAATAGGCTAGAGATCTAGACTGGTTTTGCTGAGGGTCATTACAGCCTACGCTGATACAATAACGTGGCAGTTGCGAAAGCTAATAGAGAGACGGGCGAAGCTCGGACACCGCCTACCTGCTTCATCCGACATGGTCCCATTGACCGAATCGGACAAGGTTTCCTCTAATGAGAATAACGGTGCACGTTGAGATTGCGCATCGCAATCCACTCACAAAATGATTGATACACAAATACGATTCGGACGTCCGATTTTCCAATTGTCACACACCTACTCAGGTTGCTGCGGATGGGCACTGCACACCAACTAGGCGAATGTCAATGGGGAGAGGGAAGCGTAGGTCAGAACTTCAGTCGCTGCTCACGATCAAGGAAATGTTTTACAGTGTAGCCCGCTGCTTACACAATGCCGGTGTATTAGCGTCATCACAATGTATATTCTGAAAATCATTCAGCAGTCTTACTGCTCGTTTCTTACCAACAAATTAGCGAGTTGCTACTTAGATTGCGACGTGTGCAATTTGTTTTGCAAAAGGTTCAATATGTTTTGCAAATTGTCCAATGTGGTTTGCAAAATGTCCAATTTCGTTTGCAAAATGTCCAATGTGGTTTACAAATGTCCAATGTGGTGTGCAAAATGTCCAATATGGTTTGAAAAGTGTCCAATTTAAAGTGAAAATGATATACTTCGCTGTGGAATGGGTTGCCATTCGCCATTTGGTTGTGCGAATCTACAATCCCTTCGCAGTAAGTTGGGAAGCTACAGGTACTTTGACACCATTATGTCGTTATTTCATGGTCAGATTATCTGATCATCCATACAATGAAAGCCCATATAACTTCTAGTGTGTGTAGTATCACCAATTCACTCAAAGTACTTAGACCTTATTGTCTACAACATACTCAAAATGCAAATGTTCCTCCTAACATCGCAGAAGGCAAGCATTTGGGGCAAATACGGTGTCAGGAATGCATACAATTATAATATAATTTGCTATTGCTCTTGCAGGAGAATGACAACCTGTGCGTGTATGTTCTGTGCCAAATGTTGTCACAGCTTTACACTTGAGGAGAAACATGCCCATTATTCTTGTTCTTATTTTATTTTTATTATTATATTAATGCAGCATTTTGTGTTGGCCAGAGACAAAACTAACCTGGTGCCTAAATGTTACACTCGTACTGTGCACCTTGGACAGTGCACAAATTGTGTGCTTGATGCGTTTCGGCTGCTAGGAGAACGTTGGAAATTTGACACGTGGACACCGGTTACGGTCCGGGTCAAAATAGAAACCAATGGTAACTCTTTCCGACAAGTGATCTGTTAAAGAGGTGCTGACGGAAAACCTGCAAACACCTAATCCTAGGTTGACCAGCTGCAGTTAGGAGTATTGTTGGTGACCCCAGCAATGACTCTCTCCTCCCTGTCTCCCATTTGTTAACAACCAATGTGTCATCCTACTCGGGAGCGTACCTCTCCCAGATAGACGCGTACATCGAGCCCTTTGCATGCATTCAGGGAGTCCCATTGGTTAATGTCCCATGACCAAAGAGAATGTCACTGATAGTGCGTGCATCTAACCCCTCAGGGCGAAAGTGAAATGTTGCCGCGTGTACTTGGATGCACAACAAGTTAATTTGAGTTTTGTAACATCGGAAATTAGCACTATGCGTGAAGTTGCCTGTTAAAATGTATAGAGTTGGCTTGCATTTTACTCTGTCGAAACGCTACCGAATGTTGCGTAATTTTGATTGAAATACACACGAAACGCAATATACCTGTATATAGTCGTGCCCAAATTTTTGCTAGTTTTATAGTAACTTTATTGTTATTCGACCTGGCCTAGTTTGAAATACCACACATTACCTGAGCAAACATCGCATTGCAAATGTAAATAAAGGAATTGAGTTGAATTATCACGCAAATAAATCATTGAGCTCACCGGCACAGGTTAAACCTTATATTGTTACCTTCCTTAATATTCTGCATGCTTTTCCATATAACCATAACTGATTTTTGTTTTTGCCTGCCATATCTTACCGCTATCAACTTAACTGTTTTACTTATATAGACAACTAGTTTATTCGTTTCTTATTTTCTACATTTATGGCTTTTTTTAATCGCTTCCTTATTCTTAGCAAGAGGGTCTCACAAATTGCAAGATATATTAATGCTGAAGGTTGCAAATTTCTTAAGCTCCAATAAGTGGGTCATACCGTCCATGAGCGGGAAGACAACTACACCCATATCTTTGAATGACACATGTTCATGACAGGTCGTACAAGCAGCACCAACCTTTTCGTGAGGAGGCATAAATGGCTGCAAGAGGTGAACCAGGTACGTCTGTCAACTGATCTACACCGATTTCATCAAAGTCTTCGACAATGTGAGCCATTAGATCCTCCTCCACTGAGACTGTGAGGTGTTGGTGGATCTCTGCACCAGTGTATCTAAGACTTGCTCGTTGGACGCAAGTGGAGAGTACACGTCGATAGCCACCTTACTGACTGCTATCTATCGAGCAGTGGTTTCCGCATATTCACAGTGGTGGGGCCTATGATATACATGATTTATATCGAAGACCTACCTCCGCTTCTTCGCTCACCGTATGCCCTGTTTGCAGACAAACTGAGAATGGGGAGAGTGCCAATGGCATCCGACTAACGTGGCTTACTTCAACATGACCTAAACAGCATTTCCATGTAGATTAAACAAGTCCATCTCTCGGTCAACCAATCGAAGTCGTTATTCATAGACATGTAGAAGGGTGGTGATGACCGAACCTACACAATCGACGGCGAAATCTTACGTCGCACATCTTCCGTGGAGGGTCTAGAAGTGCACTCACATTGCAAATTTAATACCATTGCCAAAACAAAGAGGCTATATCATAAAGGACATCCAGATGCAGTTTTTGCATCTGTTTTGATGATGCGACTTGATTCTTCTTCATCATCAGACGAATACTATGGCTTGCCGGCCTATCGTCCGACTACTTGCGGCGAGGCACAGGAGATTGAACTGGTTAAACACGTTGATACGCAGCTCGTCCACAGCTTGCGAGGCTTATTCTACAAGAAAGGGGGAGAGAGGTTTGGACTCTACACCGTAGCCTATCGTCGGTTGCTATTCGACTTTATCATGACATACTGGATTATACATATAGACGACGTCCCTATGCTTATGTACTACTGCAACTTCAAACACATTGCAGCAAACGCAGAGACCAGTACAAGATTATGGTTTCTGATCTTAAGCGAGTTACCCATCCTCTATTCTTTTAGAGGTGTGGCAAGTGTCTAGAACGGGTTGCTGGGACGGATATTGAAAAGGAAATTGAGTGCAGCTGTTTAAACAATGGTTGGATGTGAGTATTTTTAATGTTATCTTTCGGGAACAATTACCCGCAGATAATTCACATGTACGAGTCCTAATATACTGTGAGTTTAACGATATCTTCAATGATGCCATTCTTCTGTACGAATTAAGCTGTGTCGCCACATCAGTTTCTCTCAGCAAGATAATATACATATTAGCAGCAACGTGAAAAACGGTCACAGTACATTCCAACATGCTACCGTGACACCATGTGTACTGCGATTAACCAGTCTAGGGCGACCAGGCAATAACATCTTTATTGTTTACTCCTAAGTGTAATGTCCCCATTCATGAACCAGTCTACAGCGACCACCTACCCATAGTGAACACATTTGTCCATCCTTTGATTGATCGCCTTAGACAGATTTGAAGAAGTTTACAAGTGATATTTTACTTTTTAATGTTTTTATGAAATGCGAATGAATTTGTTCATGTTTATTTTCTACTGACTCCCATACTCCAGCATGTAAGAAAGCTGCTAAACTCAGTTTTAGTGTGGATGACCGAATTGGATGCTTCAAACAAGGATATTGCGAAGAAACTATGCCTACCGACAAAAAGTGTTTTATTTTTTATAAACATAGATATTCTAGATTGCCGCTGCACCGTATCCAAGTGATTTTATGATACAGAACGAAAAATGAAACGGATCAATTTATTTTAAACAGTTTAATGACGCAAAACTCCATCATTGATCATCGGTAACCCTGTCAAGAGCGATAATGACAGTGATGTAAATATCCACCTTTTCTATATATTTGAAAAAATATTAGCATGCAAATTCCAGGATTGATGAGTAAAAATGAGTATACAATAAACCGAAATATTACTGTTTAACCTCATGTAGTTTGAATTCAGAAACTTATGGGATGAGTCAATACAACGCAAATAGTTTTGAGGAGAAACAACATAAATGCATGAAATGCAATTAAGTGAGCTTTTATAACGTAATAGCGCACGATGTATACACACAAACACGTTGGTTAACTTTTCTTATCTTTAGCAAATAAAACCAAGGTCATCCTCACACATGCGTGACGTGCGTGCTACTGGTTCATTTGGATTATTTCCCTCTATCCTCTCTCCATCTTCTCGCAGCGTTGTCACTGTACGCTCATTCGAACCGGATTTACCAGCTCTACACAGTGATCCATCATACGTGGAAATATCATCTACGATTAGAAGCTGTGCCATCAATAAGCGTTTTTCACTGGCATCTGTGATTAAGCGCAAGCGTTTAACTCAATCGTATTGAGCCGATTGCCATTCTGTGTGACACCAATCGATACAGAATTCTCGAGGCAGGCCGAAAAGCCTAAGCTTACTCCGATCCAGTGTTTCTCAACACAGCTGTGAAAGAATCTGTGATCTGTCAATCTTTGTTCAGCGCTCTGTCCAGGTTCCAGTCACTCGCCATTCCTTGTGACCTTGTCAGCCAGTGCGGCTGCATTACCCATCACACGGACCGCGCGACCACGCCGACTGCTCATTTGACCTTGCAACCACCACGCTCGCCTGACTGATGTGCGCCGCTCGCAAAGCTGTAAAAGTACAGAACGCTAACCAACCCACTGGGTCAGGTAACGACACCAAATTGAATGGCAGAAAGGCGAAACCGAAGAGACTCCCATCGAAAGGCATTTGCGCGTTAGGAGAATGTCATCGGGTAGTAAAAATCGGTCTGGCTTGTTCGCACTGTTTAGCATGGTACCATACGAAATGTGCAAATGTGTCCCAACAACAGTTACGGGAGCGAAATAGCTCCCAAGATGCATTTTTGTTCTGTACTGCGTGTTCCACAATCCCCTGGTTAAGTGCTTGCTTATCCTAGCTAAGAAATGCGACCGGTTAATCGCAGAAGCAGAGCAGAGGATAAACAATGAGATTACTTCAATGGGAGCGAGTATGGACCACAGAGGCGTAGCGGCTGCTACGCAACGGAATGCTGAACAAATCGCTTCGCCTGCACCGCAATCAGCCATGTCTCCATCTCCGTTGTCTTCTCCAACTTTGGTAGAACGCCGGGCGAAAACAGACTGTACCTACGTGAATCAAGCAGTACTCACAGCAAAGAAAGTCAGGCACCATTCAAAACGTCTGGTTAAGCAAATTCCACTAGACCTGACATCTAGTATTAACAAGGATGGAGCAGCCAAACACCAACCCTTGGTACCTGTAGCTCAAATATCTCTTGTCGAGACTAAGCCTCCCAGAACATCGGTTACATATGCAGAGATTGCTGCTAATGTCCACCGAGAGGCCGCCGTTGCGTCCTCTTCCATTGTAAACACCTTTAACGCAAATGGAGAGAAAAACAGCAAACAATCACTTATCAACAAGTCAAGACAAATGAGTACCATACCTTGTCGATCGATTAAAAAGGGATCCAACAACAGTGCCCGGACTGTTGTATGCTCAAATGTTCCTGAATCTACCGCCATCACATTGCGGGATAAGTTATCAGACGACCAAGACCAATGGAACTCATTGTGTATGCAGATGATTATCAAAGCCAAGCCCGTAAACTTGTTACGAATTACTCGTCATCCGAACTCGCCACACTATGGTGAACCCAGACTTATTCGAGTAACTCTAGAATCCTCAACCGACGAGGAAAATGTTTTGCTCTCCGCAAGCGCGCTAAAACACGAATCCTGTGCGATACGTATCTATCCTGATGTCCCTTGGAGCGCGCGACAATCAAAAAGAAACACCGAGGAGGGGCACAGCAAGCAAGATCGCCTAAACACAGTCTTCATACATGGAGTGCCAGAACATTCTTCTAACCATGTTCAAGATACCGGAAAGCATGATTTAGAACAGTGGCGGTTCATTCGCGAAACACTTTCTTTGGATGATGTTGTGGCGTTATCGCTCACCAGGATACCTCTCTCATCGAATTATAGAGGATGCGGCCCTAGAATCCTAAAACTTGTGGTTCAGTCAGAGCAACAAGCAAAGGATGTTTTGGATCGATGGCGAAAAAATCGGAAACATCTTCCTTCCGAAATTCGGTTAAAGGTCGCAAACAATTCGCACAGCTCAAGTATTAAAGCAACTGAAGCAGCAAGCATACCGACGGATGTACAGAAGTGTAACTTGACTGCTGCTTTGATTGACTCTGAAGTAGGTTTAAACGAAGGCTGGGACGCACCTTGGCCGAATCAAGTTGCAAACGAGGTATCATTGACCCATCGAAAAAACGAATAACTGCCGACCTCCCATCGGTCGGCATTCTCCCACACTTGACAGCTTCACCTCTCTGCGGGCTCCTAGAGACCGAGAAACTGACCTGCTTGTATACAAATGCTCAGGGACTTTCTAACAAACTGGCTGAACTGAAAGATCGCCAAGCTTCCGGCTCGTATGATGTCATTGGTATCACCGAGACATGGTTGCACACGGGAATGACGGACGCTGAAGTGTCGCTACCCGGCATGTCGCTGATCCGGAACGATAGGCTCACAAAAGGAGGAGGGGTAATCCTGTACTACCGAAACGACTTACAGTGCGAAGCCGTGGAGGATTCAGATTCGCAGTTCCCCGACTCTCTTTGGTGCCGGTTGCAGTTAAAAGGTAGGGACGCTTGCCTTATTATCTTGGTGTACCGCGCCCCTAACTCAACACCCGAAACCGACTACCACCTAATGGATGCTTTAAGGTGCAGTTTACAACCAAAGTACACTCACATTCTTATCATGGGTGATTTCAACGTACATTGCTTAGAAGCCCCTGCCACAACCGGCGAACAATTCAAAATCGATTTACAAGATCTAGTAACTACTGCTCCTCTTTACAACCACATCACTTTGCCCACTCGGTTCAGAACTGGTAACAGGCCATCTGTGTTGGATCTTGTGCTTACCAACGAAGAGCATATGATTGATGCGTTGGTTTTAGACTGCCCGTTGGGTCGCAGTGATCATGCAGTCATCAGTTTCAACTTCGTCTGCTATGCAGAATATCGGAATGATAAAGATGAGACTGTGCGAACCATCACAAGGTACGACCGACTCGCCCAGATAGTCAGCGCCACAACATGGTCTTTCCTCGAAGAAGAACCCCCAGAACTCGCCTGGCTCGAGTTCGTCAACACATTCAGTCAGCTGATTGCACAGGCTTCAGAGATAAAAGCTTACAATAAGTGCAAATCCGTTTCTTTCGTTAGGAGCAGAACCCGAAAATGGATGACAGTACGCAGTGCAGCATGGCGAGTGTACAGAGAAGCTCCAGCACCAGAAACTTGGGACAACTACGAAGCCCAACGTAACCACTGCACTCAACTGTTAAGAGAAGACAAAGCCGCCTATCAGCAGAACATCGCAGAAACCTTCAGTGCTAACCACAAACTGCTGTACAAGCACGTTAATAGCCTACGAAAGGTGAGGCAAGGATTTCCTCCACTCAAGACGGCTGATGGCCCAACAAGAACGTCTATGGAAGCTGCAAACGCGCTGCAGATGCAATATGCCCCCACGTTTCAAAGGGTCTTGCCACCAAGCGATCTCCCAAGCTTTGTCTTCTGCTCACCAGGACTAACCCACATCAGTTTTACCGCAGAGGCTCTATTGCAAAAGCTGACCTCTCTACGCAAACACAGCTCGCCGGGTGTCGATGCCATTCGTCCTGAGGCATTGGGAGTAGCAGCAAACCAACTGGCAGGACATTTAGCTCAGTTTTTCCAGCACTGCTTAGACCAGAACCAAGTTCCCGCCATGTGGAAGCTTGGAATAATAAGCCCTATTCACAAAGGTGGAAGCAGATCCGATCCCTCCAACTACCGCCCAGTAACCCTTCTTCCTATACTCTCCAAGGTGATGGAATCCATAGTTGCCGATGCACTGGTGTGCTATCTGGAAAACTGCAACCTCATCACTCCTGAACAGCATGGTTTCCGTCGACAGCGGTCATGTACAACTAATTTACTCATTGCACGCAGTAGTTGGACCGAGGCAGCCGACGCTGGAGAAGGTGTTGATGTGATATACCTGGATTTTTCCAAGGCTTTCGATCGTCTAGACCATCGGATACTACTATCCAAGCTGCAGTATTACGGGATCGGAGACCCTCTTTTAAGCTGGATCGCTAACTTTCTATTTCAAAGGCAATTAGTGGTCAGAGTTCGGAGCTCTTTATCGGACCCCATACAAGTCGAGTGTGGTGTGCCGCAAGGCTCGGTTCTAGGTCCACGTTTGTTTCTCGTGTTTATTAATGACCTTGCACAGGGAATCGCTTCAAACTTCCTAATGTTTGGCGACGATATCAAGATCTGGCGCAGGATCCAGGCGAACGCCGACCAACATGTGCTCCAAAGTGACTTAGATACAGTGTATCAATGGTCGATCCAAAACTTATTGCATTTCAACGTCAGTAAATGCAAGGTGCTTTCCATTCGACATCAGGGCAGCTACTCATACCGACTCGGAACGGATGTACTGCAACAATCAACTCTCGAACGTGACTTGGTTGTCCTGGTTCAAGATGACTTGGGTTGCTCCAGGCAATCCGAAAAGGCCTCCAAGACCGGGAATCAACACGTTGGGCTGTTGAGGCGGGCGTTTGGACGAATAAACAGCTCCATATTTCGACAAATGCTCAGTGCGTATGTTCGCCCCCATGTCGAATACGCAATTCAAGCCTGGCATCCATGGCTGAAACACGACCTTAATGCACTGGAGCAGCCTCAACGCCGGGCATCTAAGAACGTAACTGGAATGCGCAACCTGTCCTACCAGGAGAGGCTGCGACGACTAGGATTGTTCAGTGGAAGCTATCGCAGGCTACGAGGCGACCTGATTATGACATACTTGATTCTGCGAAACCCACATCATGTGTGCCGCCCTTTACTGCAACTCAGCAGCAATACAAACCTGAGGGGCCACTCATTAAAACTCGCAGAACAATACAGTCGTCTGGAGTGCCGCAGAAATTTCTTTTCCATCCGTGTCTGTCACTCGTGGAATGCTCTCCAAGAATCCGTCGTCTCTGCACCGACACTAACAATATTTAAAAGACGGTTGGACGATGCACTCATCCACTTACACTTTGTTACTTAACACTATGTCTCCATCCTACACCTGGAGTTTTCCCTGGAATTATTTGTTGTTAACTGTGGGTGTTGTGAATCTAAGTGGATAGCAGGACTGCAGCGAAGCAAACGATAAGTCCTTATTTTCGTATTTAAAGTGTTAACTATTTTACTATCCTTTTCATCATAATTATTATGTTGATTTCCCCACCAACTATCCAACGGGGCTTGTAAAGCAACGCTTCTTAACCCGTATAAATTCATTGTTCATTGTTCATTGTTCATTGTTCGTTTTCTAGTAAGCGGTCTACTTTATGTTTGTGGCCTCTGCTTGCATAGGAAACCAAAGTCTAGTAATACAACTTCGGTCCAAAACTTCAGAAACCGCAGAGCTATAGGTTACAGTTAGATGCGCCAAACTCTCCTAAAGATTTCGTTCCATATATGGAGGAATTTAAGTTCTGGGTGTTTTAGGTGGGGATTAATTTATTTGCGATTTTGTTTCGTAAAACAGTAATATAGAAAAGTTTCAATGGAATGTCCTTAAGGGTCATGAGGACATAATTCGGTTTTGCGTAAAATTCATGCAGTGTGATTGATTGTGTTATTAGGAGCAAATAAGTTTGTAAACGTTGTAGGCTTCTAGATAATGTGCTCTTCCCCGATAATGCACGTGTAAGAGGAAACTCGATAAGTATCATGTACCAAACCTTTTATGTGAAGGATATTTAGATCATATTAATATTTGCACTCACTCGTTGTTTCTTACTTTAATGCAGAGACAGAAATGTTTGTGGGTGTCAATGAAAGAAAGTAAATCGCTTGTTAAAATTAAACGATTGCCCTCACATGAAATTTGGCTGAACAAAATATTTAACTGCTTTAGTGAGAATCTCCATGTTTGTAATTGATGATACAATGGTTATTTATCAAAAGTGTCGCTTTCTGTAAGTGTGATGATTAGAAGGATAGTACTTTAGTACACAATATCGTTCTTAAAGCGGATGACTCTGTAGCTTGCTTTAGTGGCTTTTCGCTTAGAATACTCAACAGCTGAAGCTTGCGCATCAGTTCTAATAGTTTTCAAAATAACGTATACTAGTTAGGAATTCAGTTAAATTCTCGGGCACGATTCGCACTCATCTTCGAGATAGGCTTCTGCAAACCAAACCAATAGCAGCAAAAAATCAAATCCAATTACAGTGAACTTAACAACGCTAAAATTTTAAATACATTCACGAAATGATAAATATAGTAGTTATTGTTGATTTCTAATTTATTTCGACCACTTACATGCTGAAAGCTTCATTTTCACTACCGAGAAACAAATACTGGGAGAATTAGCATTTCGACACCGCATGCATTTAGATTTGTTTTTCCATTGTATGGGAGTGTAAATAGATTATAAAGTTAATCGTTTCCGATTGTCTAACTCCCGGCCGTCTGGGGATAGGAAATAAATCGAAAGGAATTTAAACTATTTTAAGCACCAAAGCACATAAACATTTTGTTCGCTTAATGTGCAAATATATATTATCTTCTGCATGTTCCACTCTATAACATTTAATTTTGGTCTATTTGAATTCACTTAAGTTTTGCATAATATAATTTTTCATTGTAATTTTAATAAGTAGTTAGAACTAAAGTTTTAGAAAATACCCCAGCTAAAATATATAGTTTCGAGGTTAGTCCTCACACAAAAAATGGTAGCTTATATGTAAGAAACGCTTGGTGACAGAGAATTTTTAAATACTGAACAAATATACACGCCAGTTATAAGCAAAAATGTTGGCTTCCTTCACTCACCTTCATGCACTTTTGATAACCATTCGTTTATCCTTTCTGCAAAGCAATAGTTAGAATATATACATACTAATGTGGTGATGTATTTTCGTGAAATTAGGTGTACGGCTTCCAAAGGGCTTAAAATTTCATGCAGCTTTTGCTCAAACAATGGTCCTGTGATAAATACCAATGAAGCTTCGAATTTTTCGAAATGTGTTTTAGTATATTTAATAAACATTACCATCAAAAGTAGGTAAGAAAAAGCGTATGTAGTTCTGGAAAGTACATCGACATTCAAAAATAAAAGTAGGATGGTAAATAATTGGAGCGTCAACTTTGGACTACACGTTGTGTGATTGGATTACGACACGCAACCTCAATATAATGGACTGTGATTCACATTGTAATGAACCTTAGTCACTGCGATCGCTGATGAGATAGAATTACATCGAAACGCGTCGTGGCTGTACAGTATTTTCGGGTGGGTAATGCTCAATTTCCATCTAGCATGGTAAATACTTCGGAGTTACAGTTAATTGAATAACCAGAAGAATCCCGAGGGCATTTGCATTAGTCTGGCGTATGTTTCAACGGGGAACTAACAAACGTTAGTCTCAAAGCTTTCGCTTATATAACGACCAGGACACTGAGGGAGGCGAAAACTGCTGCGCTATTTAGACAGTGACTTATTGCGTTAAATATGATCTCACTCTAGGTGATTCGCAGTAAAATTACACGTCTATAAATAATCGGTAGCTGCTGCATCACGCAGTTTTGATGAAGAATTAAGTTGTGCGAACAATGGTCGTTAACGTCGTTATCACACATACACGACAAATGGCTTGTCGCTAGCAATATTTTAACATTTACGCTCGCATGCTAGTTTCGGAAAAAGGTTGTTACTTGGAGCCTTCATCTGTGATTTACTTTCCAACACAAAGGCCTAGGAAGCTTTAGCCACTATGAGTAGGATCCACATTTGACAAAGAAAGAATAGCTTTGCTTGCAGCAGCAAACCGAACTTCCTGCCTAAACAAACCTTGATGTAGGGTAACTAATTATTTTGAGATTTTAGTAAATAAGCACGTAACAAATAATTGCTGGAAATCTATAGTAATTAACCTATTTATAAAGGGATAGAATTATAAGTGCTCTATAAAATATGTGCCTTCAGTTAATATCCTTAGCGTCCTGTTAATGAATGTGCACGTTTAATCAACATTAGTTATTCCTAAGGTTTATTATTGCACTATATGTCATTAGACTAGATTAACCTGTTTTACCTGCTTTTTCGCATACGCCTAAGTAAGATTCCCTCTGAAATACCATGTTTATTTAACATTGTTTCTGGAAGTTGCGTAACAGATTTTAAAGCACAAGCTGAGCATTTCATAGTCGCAAAACAAGTAAGGTAGTTCGTCTTGCATCAGGATTCAAATTGGCTTGGTGTTTTTATTTGCATGCAAACAATTGTGTTATTGAGCCCAACAGAAACTGGTAGCGGATACAGAAAACAATAGCGGAACAATCATTATCCGTGTTAAATAATGGTTGGAGCTGTTTTGAGGCCGATAAACTAAATAGTTGTTTTATTGGCTTACTTGCAATCGGTGTTTTAACTGAATGTATAAAAAGCAATCCATCGAATTACAATAATTGCCGTTATTGCTAAAGTTCATAGGCATTTAATGGATCTGGCTATTTATGTAATTGTCTCCTCAATTATTTTAAACATATTTGTGTACGTTATTCAACCGCTTAGTTGTCGTTGGCCTTAAATACACAGCTAGTATTCAACAAAACATTGAGTGCAAATCAATATTTTCCTGTAGACTTAAGTTAGCTACAAACCTAACAACCCTTCTAATGCTTGATGAACGATTCCTATCCGAAATCATTCAATTAACGCGATTAAGAACTATTCTGGACTCGGCATCAAATAAGTGTGTTTGTCACAGTTTCTTACATGCCAATAAAATATCCGACGTCAAGTTCAATGAATTCAAACTATATGCTTGAATTAATCGTAATTAGTTTACTCACCAGACGATTAAGGAAAAATTTAAATAATATCTTTGTCCCGAATCTCGTTAATAAGTTATGATATTATCAAGCGCAAGCGGTTAAATTTAACCGCCAATTACAAGTGCTAACCCCCACTTGCCAAATGGTATACGGTATATAATGATGACTAGTTTGGTATATCATATGCAATTCATACGTTACTGGTAGCAGTCCGGGAAAAATAAACCAAGTAGTTTTAGAGACTTAGTAATGCATTCCCCAGAGGTGGTTTGATCAATATATCCAGCATGATTACATAAATTACCAGGTCTTGCAGTTTGTTCAAGAGGGCTTCCAAACATTCCAATTTAGTCAATGAAGTATATGTATGGGAATTATGGCAGGGCATATAGGATAATCGTGTGTGGTAACGCAGCAGCCTTTGTGGCCGATTCCTGGTGAATTACCTTTTTTTAGGTATAATCCATCATTCAACCCTCCATATTACCGCGTACCTATAATGCTTGAAGGAAAATAGGTCGTTGCTGCATTAGCTCATCATTAGATTAATTGTTATGAACGCAAACAATGAAAACCGAGGCCATGACGGGTTTTGACAGGCGATGACTGCTTCATATCGCGCACCACGTAAGTTCGCATTTTCCGCGTGACATTTTGTTGCACATTGCTAAGTTTCGCACTCTTTCATAACGGTTTGACGGGCTCCATCTACTGAAACCATCTTCTCTGTAACAATTGGAGGGGAGATGGTTTTATCGGACAACCTTACGCTTCGTCAGTCGTGACATCCTGTGTAGTTTCAGGCACCCAGACAGGAATTGTACCTCATTCTTTTGGCGAGCCTGCCAGGTTTGATCAACATACCGCTAGTCTCATTTCCTCATCATGGGTTACAGCTACAGTGCAAACTACGTTCTCATTGCGAATCTCTTTCAGGAAGCAACCGTCGGATTCCACCGCTTTTGATTTTAGCAGGTATTGTTGACCAACCTGCCCAGCAAGATAATAGCACATGATCGTATGGCTCACGTACGCAATACACCAGGAATGATGGGTCGGTCAACTGAAATTGGCTTGATGACTGGCGACCTAGATCTAGCTGACAACGCTGCGACTCGTACTCGAAAAAACACATAATATAATTTGCCTGTCATCCAAAAGCAACAACAGCAGTACATCAGCCACTTGAAGTAATACCTCGCTACCTTAAAATCATAATGACCTACGAAATAAGGAATAATAAGAGTGAGCGAAGAGTGACTTACACGGAAACCTTAAAGTTCTTAACAAACATTAAGTTTCAAGGCGCGTATACCTTGTGCTAACAACATACCGTCAAAACAGCTGGCTGTCGTGCAAAAATAAGGCGCCATCGGAGAGAGCTTCCCTGTGGCTTTCACTGCCCTGAGTCATAAGAAGTCATTGCTCAGCAGCTAAAGCAGAACCAAACAATTTTCAAACTGGCACTCCAACTACGAACGGCAGCAAATGCTCCATTAGTGTCGTTTACGAGCCATGTCCTGTATACTCTCGAGCCTAGCACAAGGCGAATCATGTGGACTGCAGACAGAGAGGCAAGTCGGACCAACGGCCCCCGGTTTGGTCGTCAGTAACTCCATTTCACTCTGCCAAGCCAACTTCTGTCCACCACTAGTCTTGCGGCAGCCTACACCTAGCACACTAAACAAGGCCCTGCTAGGTAAGCGGTGACATAAAGAGGCTAGTCACATTCGACTACTGGTGCCTACGCAAGTTAGCTCACATCTGTTAGGAACACCGCTTGAAGAACGAGCGTGTTCGACGCCTTGTTTACGGCATAGGAAACGGAAACAAACCGCTCAGCACCATTATTTCACGTATTAGGCTCCGATGACTGAGTCGCGTGTTACGCATGCCAGCACACCGATTCCCGCGACGTGCTTTGTTTGCTCCGGGGTTGTGGATGGAAGAAGATGACGTGGTCGAAAGGAATGAAGGCCTTACTTCGAAGCTGGCCTTAGTTGGGAACGTCTCGGCTCCTTGGTTGGGGTCCGAAAGACGACCAACAGGTTTGGCTGGATACAATTGCTAAAATGGCTTGAAGCCGACCTCAGTGGCGCTCGTGCTCTGAGTTTCTTTGTCCCACCCCATCCCTCTTGGCCGCTCTCCTTCAACCACGATCCCTTTATTTAGCATTTTATAATTTTGCATAGGAACTTGCTTTTCGGCTGCATAGTAGCCGGCTGGTAGCTTACGAATGATGCCCATCCATTACCGGTTGCTTGGGTAGATTGCACCTGTTGCATTTTATTCCCTTTTTATGTATTGCGGCACAGTAGCTGAGGCTTAGCATGTAAAAATACATTTGCCTGCATCATTTAAAATGCGTCATAGTCAGCGCAAGCAAAATGTATAAGTATAATTTGCCAGGCTTGCGTTAGGTTTGTATCAACTGTCCTGTAGTTCCGGATGTAAAATGCGTAATGCTAATAACAAGGTAGTATGTCAGCCAAGTCACCGGAACTGAACCGCGTTTAAATTTAGCAACTGTCTTGCTAGGGTCAAAAATAGTACAGCTGAACCTTATTCCTCTCCCCAATCGATACCTCGAAACACAGAAAAAGGGCCAGGCATTTGCAAAGACACATATATTGGAATCCGTGCAAAGCACGTACACGGGTGTTCTCGTAAACGATGGAATCACGCCTAGGTCCACCGCTAACATCCTCACACCCAGTGTATTGAACGACGTAACATTAGAAACAACCACCGTTCCGAATGACTAAAGAACTCCAAAGCGCTTCGCAAAGCAATCTATATATACAACCGTTGCTGTTTGATAAAAGTAAATTCCTACCAAGGTAGCGTAACGCAGTACAGTCACATAACTGGTAAATGACCAGGTACAACCTGCAGTGACGTCAACAAATCCCTCGACAACCGTGCTAGCGACATCACAGAAGACCATGCGAAACTACGGTGGCAAGAAACTTTTATGCACCAATGTTGCTGGGCACAAGGCAAACTCCGTAACCGGTAAAAGGCAGGCTCATTTAAATTATTCTAATTTTCATCGTGAAAGAATAGGGTACAAAGCAGACCTTTAATATAACTTTCTTCAGGAGACCTACAACTATGATATACTAAGGGGAGCCAAAGCTAATCCTAGTAACATCAGGATAAACGGATGATATCGAGATGGTGCTTTGGTTGACATATTGCAGTCGGACTGAAGGCTGTAAAATCAGCATAATTCTGGATGTTCCAAGAAGTGAACGCCTCACGAGACAGAAATGATTTAAACAACTACTATACTGAGGGGCGCAGAACAGTTGTTCTGGTCATGAAGTGCCCGATCCACCAGGTCTAGTGATGAAGAAGTTCGTGCTCATGATCTTAAAGAATGATTTTTATCCGTGAAGTTATCTGTACTGAAGACGTTACACTTCAGTCGATTGCACAATACCCATTTCAACACATTAAAATGACAGTGATCCGAGGATATTTAAACTAATGATACAGTCAAAGCAGATGGTGTTAAAATAAATCCGCAACTGCTTAATAATACGCAGCACATTTCCTTCGCAACCACTACAGGAGACAGCAATTAGAGAACCGCAGTTAATCACCATACTCAAGATAACCACACCACTCGCGACTCAATTAATTCCAACAGCAATTCCGAATACAGTGCACTAAGGCCAGTAACTACCATGTATGTTAAATATGGAAGACATATCGCAGGCGCAAGTGAGCCAAAAACTGGTTGCATTAATTTTGACATTGTGCAAGCATTTAATAAACGATTACGTGCTGGCCTGTTATCGGTCAGCATAAATCTACGTCATTCATTTGCTTCTTGTCAAGTGCTTTTGAAATCCAACAAGCTTTATATATGTACACTTATACTAAAGATTTACAGAGTAAAATATGCAAATTGCGATTTTGTCAAGGAACAATGTCTTGTGACGTCATCGCTCTGACTGTGGCATGGTTACGCTCAGACCTAAGTGATATTGGGATGGCACTACTAAGCATGTCTGCTGTTCGGCATGATTGAGCTAGCAAATGTCGATGAATGGCTCTGTTTTGCCCCAACGTCCTCCAATTTGAGCCAATACAGTGCATGCTAAACCCAGTAGAGGTTTCCTTTTATTGCGTACTAGGTATAAATGGCAACGTGGCCTGCATGGTGGCAACCGCTTTCCGCCCACCCTCAGCGCCATAGATTGATTTACATACAGAACCTGAACTAGGAAGGATGGTAAACAAGCATTACAATCATATTCCTTTTTTACTTGTACCTGTAGCACCCACAATATGAAATAAGAAGCCACTCCAGAAGAGCGATTTAAGGTGGATCTGCAAGAGTTTGTCTCGTTTCCCTCTCTATGGCCACCTCAACAATCCCACATTTCTCGGGGAAAGGACAAGCCGTCGATACTGAATCTGATAACCACCATGGAAAAACAAAGGATTGACGATGTGCTCTTCGACGACCCCATGGGCCGCAGGTATCATGTAGCATTTTATCAAGTACATCTGTTATGTAGATCAACCCGTGTAAATTGGCGACGCAACGAAAGCGAAAGACATGTTAGCTCGAAGAGGTGAGACAAACAACGATCGTTCTGGTAGAGAAACACCAGCTGGCGCATGGGAAGATTTCGTCAAATAGTTTCACATGCTGGTTGCCGAAGCATTAGCGCCTAAGTCTGTCTACACGAGAAGCGCAGTCCCGTTTCTATAAAGCACTCCGCACATATGTATAGTAGTGCGAAACTCAAACTGGCATTCATGTAATCACCCTCCAAGCACCGAGACATGGATAACTTGTACGAACCATCTTAGCCAATACACTCAGCCTGTTCACCATAATAGATATAAGTATTACCAGAAGTTCGCAGTGAGCATGATCTCAAACCATAAGACTTTCTGTCGACGCGGACACAGTCAAAGTATGGGGAAACTGGGATTCCTCTTCAAACAAAGAAACGGAAATACGTGGTTACCGTAGGCCACCAGTACTCTACACCTACAATATGCGGCAACATAGCTGTGTGAACGTTTGCAACCTAACCGAATGACAAGGGTGGTCTCATCAAAAAACTCACCCGCACGTCACTGACGGCAGAATCTTTACAAGTCAGCTTTCGATAAATTGGAAATACAGCAATTTGCGGTGTAAAATATATACCCGAAGTCGCTAGCGGAAGTATAAGAGCTTTTAGATGTATTTGGCTCAATTCCTCCAATATTGTTTCGACGAAGCGTACGTGCCCGACGTGTGGAAACAGGGTATATTCACTCCTATTCACTCCTATTACGTACTCACACTAACAGTAATTTCAAAGGCCATGGAATTTGTTAATTCTGATGCGCCAACGGTCTAGTTGGAAGAATTCAATTAGCTTGCATCCAAATAATATAGACATTGACGTAATCTCTCGTTACTACATACATACCGCAAGCACGTTCCAGCTTTACAACAGCAGTAGACCCCGTCAGATAGTTGATGTAATTTTTCTCTACACTTCAAATGCGACCAACCGCTTAGACTATGAGATCCTGCTTCTCAAACTAAAGACTTTAATATTGATTATCCTATCCTAAAATTTATCTGAAGCTGTCTTCCACAGCGGCAGTAAGATGCATGAATGCGTGAATCTCTGTCGTATCCCATACCAGTTAAATGAACAGTAAAACAAAAATCGGTACTAGCACAGCTGTTATTTTTGCCATAAATCAACGATATCATACGTTTCATAAACTCGAACCTACTGCTTGATGATGGTAACATCAAGTTCTGGTGCTGGGTTAAATCGCTAGATGCTTTCACAGTACTACAATCCGACTTGCATAAGTTGTACTCAAATGCAATAGAAAATCAGCTTTGATTTCATGTGAGCAAATATAGAGGGCTGATCTAACAGAACCTGGTGGTGTGCTTTTACAAACTGAGCAACTGGAAGCTTCAGACCTCTTGTGACATTTAGCATCTGAACATTTTGATCTAGACCGGACATGGGTGCTGTAATCAGGCTGAAATGGCGTCAAGGTGGAGCACATAACACGTGGTCCTAAAATAACATGTTTTGGACCATCCGACTCGACGATATTTCCACAGCTTCTCAGCTCATACATACGTCCATATGTAGAGTACGCAGACATTGCTGAGTATTGACCTCACCGTCTTAGATAACCCAACGGCGTGCAGCCAAGAATGTAAAAGATGTGCATGTTTCGCTGTATGAATGATGACTTCATGTGTTCACGGTCTTTCACGAATAATATCGGCGTAGCTCAGGGATTCAATTGTGACTACCAAACTTTTAGAAATCCAAACCATACGTACTCCCGATTGCTGGAGCTCAGCTACAAACCTAATTGCGTGGCCATATTTTTAAGCTAGCAGAACAGTACAAGCTTCCGAAATGCGTAGGAAAATCCTTTGCTTAGGCATTTGCATTACATGGAATATTCTACCGCTATCTGTCATCCCTATTCCCAGCCGTCAGTGTTAAATGTCCGAGTTGTCCATAAAATCATTTTATTGCAAAACCTAACATAACTCATTATCCACGAGAAAACACAAGGGTCTGTAAGAGATTTCACTGTAGGCCAAGTCTCAGAACATGTTCCACCTTTTCGTCGCCATTACGTAGTCAGCAGGATGCGGTATTGTTTGTTATCGAGATTCGTTTATCATTTCTTATAGATTTATATTGGATTTACAGTTGATTCTACATTTACGTTAGTGCATCCAGCGGTGGAATATTATTTTGCTGACAATTTGAATGGATTTTGAACTGTCACCATGACCTTAAAGGAAACATTTTAGGCTTTACCTTTTTTACCTATTTAAACCATTGTTTCATTTCGCCACGCGTTGGATTTAACGAATGCACTCTACTGAATACATCGATTCTTTAAAGGCTAGTGCATCTATGGTGTTTATCCTTGCTTAAGCGCACTGTTTACTTTACCTACTTATTATTGGTGCTCAATCCAAAATGGAGTTTATCACCCTTTTACTAAGCAGAGAACTATATCGGTTAAGGAATTCAGAGTCTTCTGCGGCTAATAAATACCTAACCAATGAAAGAGATGACGAGGTTTATCACGTGTTGCTTGGCGCAAACCACACTGATAGCAAGAAGTAGCCTAAAATGCAGGATGCGAAACCTCAAATAGCCAATTTTGCAACAATTCGTACAGTTGTGAGATGATTTTGCGATCTCTGCCAATGGTACAAAACTACAGCGATCTGTCAGACTAAAATTCAGTGGTAAATGATGCTTGAACTTACATAAATTCGGTGTGAGTACTTATGGAAAAACAAATGGCAATTATGCGATTGTCATTTTCCAGTTTGATTATAAATGAAATAATCTATATTTCAAAGTTCTAATATTATTACGAAAATAATTTGCTGAACTAGGGCACAATTGGAAGTGAACTTGATAACAGGGAGTATATTCCCCTTATATTCGAACATAACTGAAAAGAATTCTAAAGTGATCGCGAATACTTAATACTATCATTACCAAGTAATTTTCCCTCACGCATTGTTCTAGGTACTAAAGGAAACTACCAATTTAATCAAATATATACGGATATTAAAAATAGCAAAAGGTATAATGCTGTTTATGGCAATGCATGTCCCTTTACAAGTCTGAAAAGAAAATTGGCCAATCGACTTCTGCCAATCCATGCAGTGTAACTCGTACACTATAAATACATTCGCTATTTAGCACTCAGCAAGTTAGAATCAGATAATAGTAAAGATTTCTCTATGCATTTAACGCAACAAAATGCACGTGATGCAGTTGCAGATAAAAGATGCTCCAACTGTAATTATTTTATTGGTCTAAATATTTTACTCCCTAGCAATCCGGACCACCGCAGTTTTCATATTAATATAATTACGTGTAAAAAGGCTGTGCTTTCAAATGGTAAGTGAAGCTATCTCACATTTTGTCATCCCTGAAGCTAAAAAGAGAAGCAAGGTAAATTCGTAAGGTACGTGCAATTTATTCTCTGAAAACATGCATTGATCATTGATATACAAGTGGTTTTGAAGGGTTAATTATTGCTAACAAAAGTTTACATTACTTTTATCTCAGTACTTCAAGCTTGCTTTAAGATTGGGCCACCGCGCGCAACATTGGCTGTATGAGCCAATTATTGTAACTCGTCCAGAGAAAACTCGAGTCCTAAAAACAACACACTAATCGAATTAAAAACTCTCGTTGTTTTAAAAACAAAAGGAACGCAATCTTGGGTGATGTAACGACTAGACATGCGCAGTTATTACATTGTCTGATTCACAAACGGTGATGAAATATCTATTCCCAACATAAAATAAAAAAGAAAATGCAAACCGGCAGCTTTCATGTAGAAAACATGATATTCATAGAAAAAGAGACACAATCGTAATTTGTTTCAATTAATGTGCACAAGGATGTATATAAACAAATATGTAATACACATAAATATAAATTTCACCGGAGACATGTGAACTTAACGACATGCCACGCTAGTGCATTTGTCATACATTCCGAATTGTGCAGTTGCTTCACAAAGCATTTTCATTATTGTGGAACCTAAAACGGCGTGAACCGATAGTATTCGATGTAAGAAACACATATTTACGGATAGATTGTAGGATGGTTTTTAAATTGTTAGCCCTTTCAGTCAGTTTGATGCGCAAGCTTGTAAATATATCTAGTTGAGTTCTATCAAACTTACATCGTCAACTTTTGCAAATATCAATAGACAAAATTCAGTTTTAGATGCAAATCTTGATAACTATTTGAAATTAGATTTAGTTAGAATGAATCTATTTTCTGTCTTGAAAATTTCACAGAACATGGCTGACATACTTTAAGGTACCTTTTGAGTTGTGTAAAATATGATCCTATTAATGATATTTCAAACTGTATAATAGGTTCAATTTTAACTACTGCTGTTAGCAAGCAAAAAGACAAGCAATATTTATTAACTCACGCGGTTCCAAATTTTTGAAATCTATGAGTGAATTTAAAAGAACAGTATTAATGTTTCTGCACAACCAACGGCTTTGATCAATGTATCTATGCAAGTAGTATGAAAGTACGTATTTGGCTATTTATGAAGCATAAAGTTCTAAAATAGTAGGACCTTGCAAGTTGATAAGATTAATTTCAGCATCCAACATTTTCTCGAAAATGTGTGCTAGGCTAAGCAGGTTTGATAAGTATAACTGGGTAACATTTTATAATTTTTCACCAAATGTACTACTTGAAAACAGGCAGCCGTACAGTACACTTTACAATACAAATACTCAGTATATGTATCGCGTGATTATAGAGTACCGTGAGCTTTAACTCCTATTGTCAATGTAAACTAATGCATTGGTGTTCGAACAGGTAGATTCAATCGGTTTAATGCACCCTGTAAAAGTATTTCCTGGTGTCGTGGATTAATTTATCCATGGGCAAGATTAACTTACGGTTTTTTATACAAATTATTTAGCTTCGCTTTAAGATGTTAGCTTCTCTGTCTGATACGAGAAAATTTTTACATGTATATAGCCTTGTTACTTGTTTGCTTGTGGGTGCATGAAATTCACAATATCTTCTGATACCACTTGTTTATCATTTAAAACCGTATGACTTGCAACTGTTAGGATTTTTTAATTACTCATGCATTGATCGACCGATTCATATTTTTTCATTATAAATCCGAAGACAGTAATGAGGAAAGCAACACCCTGTCGCCTGTTTCATAATAATTGATTCTATTTGGCTACTTGCTTCATGTTCCCTGATGTGTCTGCCCGCTAAAAACCTGAACACCTTCGTAGAATTCAGCAAGCTTTTACTTAAATACTGTGCCGACAGTACCGGATATAAATGCAGTCAAAATGATGTAGAAACCTCTTGAGCTTGCATCTAGGATAAACGGTTCCAGAGCAAAGAGACTCGGTTTCATGGGATAAATTAACATGCAGTCAATCTTATGTTCCACGAAAATGTCTGTTACACTGACTATGGACTCTCCAGATGGATATCCAACCATTATTTTTAGCTGTATTGCGTCCTGGGGGCATGAAAGTCACTTTTCACCAAGGCTTAATTGATGAAGTGACTCAGAAAACACAGGCAAGTTAGAATGATGGAGCATCTGCGAGTAACAATTGAAGCCACAATCGCATGATTTTTAATGCTCCTGGGTCGGCGGACTCAACTCATCAGTTGCAATGTTACCATGACTTCGAGGCTGACATAGTTTAACTTAAAAATGTCTCGATGTTAGTAGGCACGATTCAAGGTATAAGGTTACTTGCATTAATAAAAGAGAAGGGATGAGCAGGCTCATTCTAATCTAGTCAGTTTTGTAGGCAAAGCAATTCCAACACGAAGACACTACAGCCTGTTTTGTTCAATCTATTAAACTCAATCTTTTGCTGGAGAAGTACCAGATAGAGTTAGAAAGAGTTAAGTCCAGTGCCATTAAATTAGTGTAGCTTAATAATGTTGCGTAACTAACCTTTCGCATCACAAAGTTTATGGTTCTCACACAGGTTCCCTTTCCTGGATTAATGTGTCAGTGACTATTCGTGTGCACAAAGATTTTCGTGTCGTCCCCTGCGACTAGGCATCCATGAACGTTAAAGATAACTTGAACAAACGGAACGAGAGTTGTCGCTTCATTGCCTATCGAAGAAGGTTTATTCTAAGGGTTGCTGGAACACAGCTAACTCCGCAAGTAAATCCTGTGAACGTCAACTCAGTGATTACTGCTGCCACCGCCACACTACTGTGTTTTGTGTTATGACAATCTAATCAACTAAACCGTATAGTAAGCTTTTATGAAAGGCAAGCCAATTGAGAAAGAAAGACACAACGGCTCTGGAAAATTTCCAGCGATCATTTAGCAAGCTGGTCATGGAGGGCTGCACAAAACTGAGTTATTATAATCGCTGTCAAAACTCTAACTGGACCCTCTTTGGCTGAGAGACTTTCAAACAACCATGCTCTCTTTTACAATCTTTTAAACCAACGAATTTACGTACACAGCACCGCACTTGAACTACGGAAGACTGCAGTCAACCGTAAACGTAATGGCAGCTACTTAAAACACACAAACCTTTCAAGTCATAAAACGATCAAATTGCTTATTAGTGAGATATACTTATCTATGGAACAAACTACCGCTACAGACACGCATGATTTCAAGCCGTCACAATCTGAAATTCCTTTCAGATGTTGCTCACTATATCAAATGCGTTGAAGACATTTGAGTAACAGCAAACTATAGAAACATTGAGAGAAATTAGTATAAAGAACATATTACCAGATAATCGTTTACACCTAGCTTACCAAGTACATGTCTTCAACTACAATACCGAATCCTGTGTCTGTGCAGCCTAGTATCCCCTCCAATTTATTATCTACTCCTGAGGTCCACAAACTAGAAACCATGATACAAACATCTGTAAATTTTACGTATTAAGTGCTCGGGTCTAGAACACGAGGAAACAAATCGTGATCCTAAATACTATTAATAACCTTTTCGCTAGTATTAAAATTTAAGCCCCATAAAACATGAATACTATTCACTATACAAATGATCTCTCTCACTTACGGGGTCGTGTACCATCTATCGCTAAATATACAGATTGATTTTATTTAACAATTATTCGCAATCTCTTTCATGTGTGGACCGTAACTCATTTAATGAACTTATCAATATCATTAATTGGGCAAGCTTTCCTAACTGATAATCCTAATGTGACTACATATGAGTTTACTAAAAATACTATCCTTGACGTGGATCTACGGATACCTCCAGTATGGAGAGATACCTATGTAAATAGTAGTGAACTCAAGCGTCTAAATAGAGCCACCACCAAACTGACGAAGCTCAAAATACTATTTCGCAAAAACAATCGCCTTGCAAAATTACTACCTAAATAATAGGCTCTGCTACAGTTAAGATGTCTAACAAAACCGGCCAAGACCAAAGAAAAATTTATGGTACTTAGAAATCCTGAAAATGTGCTTATTTTGATGTGATAATTCAAAGCAGAAGCCCTATATTGTATACGAAAATTAAAACACTGTCTCTGGACGATGGCTAAACAACGCGAAACATATCATGCATATGCGAAGTTGTTAAAACCAGTTTCGTCTCCTGCTTTACTCCTTCATCTCAGTTGTGTTATTCTGCACTTCGAAAATGAACGAAAGCGCTACTTTGTAATATTCCTATGAAGTTGAGTGAGGAGGACATTGTCACCCCATACACAAAGCCATCAATTTGTCCAGGCTCAGATGGCATTCCTTAACGGTCATAAAACTTCGGAAATAACACCTCTAAAGCTATTAAGCGTCTTTACACTTTATAACACAACCGACTGCTTTGCTTCTTACTGGAAGGAATCCATCAGTTTGCGCAAGCACAAGGGTCGCTTGTGAATTGAGATTTCAAACTACCGCTCTAAACATTAAACTTTCCATATTTTGAATGTCCTAGAGAGTATAGTCGATGGAAAGATTATCCAATTTCTTACAACACGGCATCTAATCAATACTTCACACCATGGTTACCTCTCAAAACGCTCCTTCGTTACGTTAGGTACAATTCCTCGATCATGTTAACAATATGATTGAGGGCGGAATAGCAATCATTATAATTAAGTTGAAAATGTGAAAGGCGTTCGACAGCATTCCACACAGCCGTTTCTTCCCGTTCTGGAATTTAATGGCAAGGAAGACACACTGCTAAGCTGGTTCAACTAATAGTTAAACGATCGAACCCAGAACTTTAGAATCGGTCCGGAATACACTACGCCAAATCAAATAACCAGTGTCGTCTTCCAGGTAGAGTGCTTGGACCGCTACTTCACTAGATATAAGTAAACACGGATGTTTATTTTTGTTTGTAGATACAGTCGAACTGGTGTAATGATTTATCCAAAGCAACAACAGATTTGGCTTGGAAGCTTCTGGGAAAAATAGTCCGCAACTAAATAGAGCTAGTGATCGTATTCATGAGGTTCTCCGCAGTTAAATTCAAAGTAATAGTATATATATGCCGCATTCCGAAAGGTATTATCTCCCTTGCTTGAACGGGACTTAAACGTCTGTTTCAGTTCGGGGCTTTGGAACTAAGTACTCCAACTAATTTAATTTCGCCAAACATTTGCTTTTTCACGGTAAAATGCGAGGCATTTATGTAGATACGTCAACGGAACGTCCTGCCCAAACGAAACGGAGCTTACTCACTCAAACTAATCGCATAACCAACTCCGGAATATGGTATTATATTTCACAACCAATTTGGAAAAATAGAACTGTTCTAGAAAATGTCCAAAAATCATTTACCAATCTGATCATAGCTCGCAGAACGAATTTGAGTTACAATGATCGCCGTCCGTCACTCAAAATTGATATTCCTTCCTGAGACTCTTTAAGAACATCCACATTCTTTCCTTCAACATTATTATACGACGAATTTAGGCAGACAACACTGCACTTTACCTCTGAAGAAGGTAGTGATCTTCACACGCATTGATAGATAGTTGATACCTTCAGCTTTTATGAGTCATAAAACACAAATGAATATTTTTTCAATCCGCCCATCTGTGGACAAAACTACCCCTACAGATACGCATGTTCGCAATCCACGTCACAACTACAACTTCCTTACTGACTCTCCTTACTATGTTACATGTGTTGAAGATTTCTGACTGAAAAAATCTCAAGCGACATTGACAGAAGCTGGTATAATTAACATATGAACAGTAAGTTGTCTATAATTATTTTACCCAATGCATATCATTAGGCACAAAACCATAATTGTGTCCGTTCGACCTATAATCATCTTCTTATTATTAATCACTCCTGACCCACACAAATTAGCAAATGGGAAAATAACTGCCGGTAAATTTTACGTCTTATTTGGTCGGGTCTAGCATTTTATGGAAAAATTCGTAAGCAAAAATTCGAACATTAAAATGGTTATAATGTTTTATATTTATG